ATCATCGACAGTGTACAAACCTTTTTTTTCTAAAGTCTAAATTATACACTGCAAGAAAAACATTTATATTTGTCACTCATAATTTCCTTCGGCATTTTTTTTTACAGTTATAGTTTAATATTAAAAACTCGTTTATTACCGAATTATAACTTTAGTAATTAATTTCAATAAATATTATATTGTGTTTATTTCCGAGAACGGATTGATTTTCTTATGATTTAGCAATAAGTTTATTTTATTTGATTAATTCAGGTTCCCTCTATAATATGCAAAGTTAATAAGTAAGTTATGGAAAAGAGGATGATTATGCATTTTCTTTTTATTTTTGGTCGGGGGCGAGTAGGAGGGATTACCGAGATCTTACTTGTGTATCTGTAAATCTTACATGGCTAAAGACCACCGGCAGTCGTTTCAGTAATTATACTATCGGGAAAAAATATTAGAGAAACAAGTAACTGTGCTTAAGAATAATCATGCGAGATTAGATTAAATAAAACATTTTATACCAAATGGTAATTTTAATGTTTAATTACAGAGTTTAATTTATTATTAGAATTCTATATGGGAGAATGGAAGAAAAACCAGCGGGGATGGGGGTGGGGAGGGGGGTTATAAAGGATAAAGGGATAAGCAATTAAATTCTAGCTCTCTCTACATGTACATAACAACAATATATCCATCACCTTGTAAATTTCTTCATTATAAAACTTGGCTAGACGGGAAATTTGATGTAATTTACAAATAGTCACGGCACTCAACTAACCATGCAATGTTCGTGTATACATGTCCAAATACATTACATCAAAACTCAGATGTTTTAAAAATTACAAATTAAAGCTGTCTGATTTATAAAACACCTAATATGTAATTATTTATAATTTATTTCTCAACTCTTTTTTATTCTGACTATCCACTGTTCACAGAAATTCGGATCGATTAAAAATAAAATCCACGGGTATTATGTGTCCCCATTAAATAAAAAAAAAATAAGCATTTAATATCACAAATTTAAACTCAATCGTTATTCTCGGATTTATTTAAGCCATGATTGACAAAAGATAAAAGCAGAACAAGTTTTCAGTTCCCTGCACACGGAGCCCGTGGTCGCTGTTGTAAATCACCTTGATCACAGTCGTACATTGCAAGAGGGAAGTTGAAGGTTTAAATATTCCAGTATATTTTAGTGGTGCATCCGATGCACCACATAAATAAAGTATTTATTTCTTTATACAAAAGAAAGTTAATTATGCTTTTTAACACCCGGTACCGACAAAAATTGATATTTAAAGCTTGCGTTTTTAAAATGCGCCCCCACCCCCGTTCCCTCGGAAATATCTAATCCTGCATTCGTAAATGCATGTGAATTATAACTCATATATTTTTCAATTATTAATCAACCAATCCTATGTATTAGAAGACTATTAATGACACACAGTTTTAATTAAAATTATTTAATACAATTTGGTAATAAATAGACAAGAGCGGAATCCTGATACAATTTCGTTTGAAATTTCGTTCGTTGCTTTCTTTGGAAAATAAAATAAAAAAGCTATGATCATTCCGACAGTGCATTAAAATCAATTCATTAAAATTGTTGCACATACACTGTAATTAATTAACTTGAATAAATTCTCTGTCCATCTTTATTTTGAGAAAAAAAAGAAAAGAAAAGAAAATTAAATATACATTACCGTGTAATTTTATTTTGTGGCTCTCATACTTTTTTTTTTAATTTTCACTCTTAAAATACATCCAGTATAATATATCCAAATAATATTAGCCATAAACAATTAACACTATTTGACATCCTGACCCATCGATAGCCATGTTTAAAATGAAATGACTTCCGAATGAGTCCTACACGTTTCTCACACGATTCTTGCACGAAAGTCACACGGTTCTTACACGAAAGTCGCACGTTTCTCACACGCTTCTCGCACGCTCGCTACACGGTTTGCACGAAACACTTTGGAGCTTACACGAAACGCTGCACGGTTTACACGAAACGCAACACGGTTTGCACGAAACGCTGCACGGTTTACATGAAACGCTACACGGTTTGAACGAAACGAAAAGCGCACGAAAGTTACACGCTTTTTTGGGGTAGTAGCACGTTTCAGGGTCTGTATATACCCCGTATGCAGGTGATGAAGGTATATTGCAGCATAAGTAAGGGAAGTTGACGATTGAAAAGTTAAAGTCATCACGTTTATCATAAAGCTTGGTTGTTAGATTTCCATTAACGTCTTTTTCAAGTAAAATATCCAAATATGAAACAGATGTGTCAGACTCTGTGGTATCTTTTATCTCAAGCTCACAAGGATATATCATATCGACATAAGAATGGAAATAGCCATTGTTAATTGACAATACGTCGTCGATATATCTAAATGTCGAGTTGAAGGCCACAGCAAGTGTTTTCTTCTTTTCACGTACAAGATTTTGGACAAATTCTGCTTCATAAGAATACAAAAAAAGGTCTGCTAATAACGGGGCGCAATTGGTACCCATGGGAATTCCAATAGATTGTTGGAAGACCTGGTCTCCAAAAACGCATCTTTTTAATGTCAACTTCAGAGTACTTGTGTGTACAATCAGAATGTTTTTTAACAAAATATTTTTGCAAATGACCAATGACAAGGTAAGTAAATTTACGAGTTCCACTTTTATTGAAAAAGCAGCTGTCAATAATATCAAAAAGCCTGGACTTTAATTTATCGTGGGGAATGGTTGTGTATAAAGTTGAAAAGTCGTAGGTTTTTAAGCTGCTGATTTTGGTAAAATCTTGTGATTTCAAATTTTCCAAAAGTTCCTTGGAATTTTTAAGTATCCACATCTGATTTACACCACTTCTCGAATATATTGTTGCACAGTACTCTTGAAGTTTCTCCTTCACCACTGTTAATATCTTAGTGAGGAGTAAAGAAAGAGGCTGGGTTGAACATTTACTGGAACCCGCTACATGTATGTATCTTTGTTTGTAAGGATTTTTATGAAGTTTCGGAATCCAATATAAATATGGTAATTCAAATTCATTTTGGTTGTTTGGAATATTAAAAATATTCAAAACTGACATATGATTTTGAATTATTTCTTCCTTAGAAAGGGAACTATGAGTATAAGTTGGATTTCAGAAGCATTTCAGAAGTCTACACATCCCTTAAATAATCTACCTATCACTTCAATAGTCTACATATCACCTCAGAAGTCTACATTTCACTTCAACAGTCTACATATCACTTCAATAGTCTTCATATCACTTCAATAGTCTACATATTCAAAAGTCTATAAATCACTTCAACGGTCTACATTACACTTCAATAGTCTACATATCATTTTAATAGTCTACATGTCATTTCAATAGTACATATTACTTCAGTAATCTACCTAACACTTCAATAGTCTACATATCAGTTCAACATTTTATGTCATTTCAATAGTCTACTAATTATTTTATATATCATTTTAACAGTCTACATTTCACTTCAGAAGTCTAAATAACACTTTAACATTTTATATGTCATTTTAACAGTACAAATCACTTCAATAGTTTGCATATCACTACATTTTATATACCACTTCAACAGTCAATCTACATATCATAACTACATTTTATATACCACTACAACAGTACCAACATATTTATATTACTTTACATATTATTTTAACAATATACAGATATCATATGTAGGGATATTTTTAATGTAAAAATATGGATTTCGTGTTTCTCTTTTTTATTTATACATTGTTTTTTTTTTACTCAATATGTTTTAAATGAATTTAAATCATTAATGAGTTGACATTTTAATACCGGTATGATCCGTTAAACAATGATATTTCTACACATACTATCGATTTTTAAATAAAAGCGAACCTTACTGGTTTTATTTATTTTAAAAATTTATGGGGATGTTTAAACAATCTATTTATCAGTGCAGATGTTCATCATTTCATTGCTCTTAACTGCAGTCACATTTGGAAGAAGGGTGCATGCATAACATATTGGGAATTCAATGGCGGTAATTCGCAGGTACTGGGCATTAGTTTTATTTCATAGTCTAGCTGCTTTTGGCACCCTTAAGAATGGGTATGATAATTTCCAATGGGGAAAGAGACTTCTTGGTAGACTACTTACCACTATAGCCCGGGTCAGTCCTCTTGACTGTGCAGAAGAATGCCTCGTTCGACCTGGTTGTCAATCTTTCAACTATAGACGTTCCATGATTTTCTGTGAATTGAATTATGAAAAGGATGGTAAACAACAACTTTCCGAGGAGACTGGGTGGATATTTAGTCGACGTGAAACATGGCCAATGGTAATATGAATTTTGTTATTTAGCTTCGCTCCTCATATACTTGCTTCTAGTTTTGCTAGATTTTGATTTTCAGTAAAATAGCCATGAAATATAAAATTAACATCTATAACAAGAAGTAAAACCAATTCTTTTAAATGAAAAGCATCTATACACCTTTTTAAATATTTAGCGCATAAGACGTTATTTACGGGGCTGGTAGGACATTGATGTAGAATAGCTTGATGATTTATGTATACGTACATCTACATTTAATTGTTGTAAGTATCAAATAGGGATGTAATATTTTAATAATTATCAATTATATGCACGTTCCTTATTGGATTATATTATCAAATACACAGCATTATGCAACAAAAACCAAAATCTCAATGTATGTGGTCTAAACAAGGAAAAGTAAGAATGCAATTGCAGAATTAGAGAAAAAGATAAAATATTAAAAAATATATGTAAAGAGAGAAAATCAAATATCGAAATCGATTTCAAAATGTTTTTTTTCAAGGAATTTAAGGAAATATCCCAAAAGTATTCATTATTCTTGCCTTTTGAAGGATTACAACTTTTTTCATAGCTTGGCTTATTTTTCAGAAGAATTTAAAAATATACCTAATGACACTGAAATTCGAACTGTGCTGTTGAATGCAAACAATAAAATTGTATACACGCTTTCATTTCTAACCAGGAAATTACTGGATCATGTGCCAGTTCGCGATGTTCTCTAAATGAAACATGCCAAGGATCTTTTCAGAATCACACATGCAAAGTATCACGTATGTTCTTTGTTCATTATTACCTTGATTAATTTCTAGATTAGTTAGAAGGTATTTCTTTCATTAACATGTCTTTCAATTCTGACACTTTCTTAGATGTAATTTAAGATGATTACTATGCCTATTTTGGACTTTTTCAAAAGTAGCAGAAAGGAGTGTTTATGCCCCCGTAATCTAAGATTCGGGGCCATACTGTTTTTGCTCTGTTCGTCCGTCTGTCAGTCTGTCTGTTTGTCCGTCTAATTGATTAGAGCTAACGCTTTCATATTTCACAGGAGTATTTCTTGTGACAAGACCATTGGGTACCAACTTATATAACCTCCTGACATTAGAGTTTGAACCACTTTTGCAAAATTTTACCAACCTTTAACTTTGGCCATTACTCTTGAACTGTTGGTGAAAGGGTTTTCATACATTACATGTGTTTTCCTAGTGACGAATCATTCCCTTGGGTACCAACAACTTTGACCTTTTGACCTTGACTTTGGAGTTTGATCTACTTTTTTAAACTGTTAACCTTGGCCATAACCTTTGAACAGTTGAGGCTAGGGCTTTCATAAGTCACATCTTTATTTGTTAGAAGACTTTTTGTGGTTAAAATATTTTTTTGTCTTGACCTTCGAGTTTGGCGTACATTTGAAAAACTTTTACCTTTGATATAACTTTTGAACAATTGTTGCTATGGCTGTCATATTTCACGTGTATATACCCTGTGACAAGACCTTTCCTTGGGTACCAACAACTTTGACCTTTTGTACTTGACCTTGGAGTTTAACTTACTTTTTCAAAAACACTAACCTAACTTTTGAACGGTTGATGCTAGGGTTTTCATACACCACGTGTATTTCGTGTGACAAGACCTTTCCTTGGGTTCCAATATTTTTACGCTGACATACTTTTGAAAAACTTTAACATTGGCCATAACATTTGAACAGGTAGCGTTGGTGCTATGGCTGTCATATTTCAAATGTGTTTTCCTTGTGACAAGACTTTTCCTTGGGTACAAATATTTTTTACCTTGACCTTGAAGTTTAACATACCTTTGAAGAACTTTAACCCTGACCATAACATTTGAAATATTAGTGGTATGGCTTTAATATTTAATATGTGTATTCCTTGTGACAAAACCTTTCCTTGGGTACCAACAACTTAGACCTTTTTACCATGACCTTAGAGTTTGACCTGCTTTTGAAAAACTTTACCTTCGGACATATTTTTTGAATGGTTGGAGCTAAGGTTTTTAGACTTGTATTCCTTGTGACAAGACCTTTCCTTGTGTACCAACAATTTTGACCTTGGAGTTTAAATAAACCTACTTCTGAAAAACTTTAACTTTGGCAATAAGTTTTGAACGGTTGATGTTATGGTTGTCATAGTTCACAGATGTATTCCTCGTGACAAGACATTTACTAAAGTAACAAGACTTTTTACCTCATGACGTTAAGCATGGAATTTGACCTACCATTAAAAAAATTAATTTTAAACATAATTTCTGAATGGTTGGTACAAAGGCTTTCATATTTCACAGATGTATACCTTTTGACAAGACCTTTTTAGGGTACTAACATTTTTTCTCTTTTCACCCTGATCATGGAATTTCACTTATATTTGAGAAAACTTTAAATTAACATTCGCCATGAAGTGTCATACGGGGGCATCAGTGTTTCACATACACATTTTGTTTTAAATTTCTTTATGAATTACATTATTTTAAAATTCTCAGTTTAGTTTAGTTTATTAGAGTCAAGAGACATTTCATACACACGTAAAATCATTTTAAAACAATTGCATTTAAGTACATATAATGATAAAATTGCCATCAAACGTCTACAATATAATACAAATAATAACTTTAGTTTCAGTAATTTACAAATTGCTTAAAGAACATGTTCTTGGTACAATAGCTCAGTACATACAAAAGTTTTTTTTTTATTACATAATTATACTGAAAGGAAAAAAGAAATGTAGGGTAACATAATATGCGAAAAGTTTCTGACTGCATGGCCGAAATTTACGAAAACTGATCAAAGGGGTGTCTTAGTAGTTGTGCACTCAAGTCCGTGTTCAGAATTACTCAACCGTGAAATGTATGACGTCAAGTAGGAAAAATGGTAAAAGCCAAAAACACGGGTATGTTGATTGTGACAGGTTTGTCAACACATCTTGTAACATCACTTGATGCTCTGAAAATATACACATTGTTTTTCGATATTTAAAGACAATTTGAATTTTTTGTAATCATGGTATGGTTGACGGAAGTTCCATGGAGTCTGGCTATTGCATTGGCTAAGTAAAAAAAAAAACAAGGAAAGAATGAGTAGTTTGTTGTGAATTTTTTTCACCATAGAAAGTCTTATCCGTCGTCAGAGAGGGACTGGAAACATTCCCATTCAATCGTGACGATGACGTTGGCACATAACAACGCTACGTCAAGATTGGGCTATTTACCATGCCATCCACTTACGACCACTTACAGTAGGCAATCATAATCGTTACATTCACCCAAAAACTGAAAGAAACCCATTGTGCGATTTTGGTTTGTGAGCATCAAAGTTACTCGCGCGCGTGTGCGCATATTATGACTATAGTTTTTCAGCATGTTAACCCACGTCCCAATGTAGCCAGAGTTTGTAAACATTCACATTAACCCACTCGACTGGTGTCCGTACAATCTTCTTTTTCTTCAGTTGAACATCTGTGGGGCTAACTGGACGGTAGGGTTTAAAGGCGTCGGAATGTCTAAGCTACTCTCGACCAACTAAGCGCTACCTTGTCGAAATGGTTTAATAATATCCTATGAGAAAGATAAATGCACTTGCATGTATGACCTCCATGCAGAGGAGAATTAAGGCTGTGACAGAGATGCGCGAGGGAGGCATAGGGTATAATGAGAATTTACGATTTTCACTTTTTTTTTGGGGGGGGGGGGGTACCGTCACTTGTGTTTCAATCACTCATGAATCAAAATAGTACTAATGAGATTTTGCTTACTTGTCGAAAAAAGATGAGTTTAAATCTTAGATTACAGTACTTGAAAATACGTTCAAAAATATAACATTAGATTATTTCAAAAGTTTATGCTGCGTTTCTTTTTCCTTTCAGTATATATAATTCTTTAATATTCTGTTTAAGAAGTACATGTAATCGTTATCTGAAGACGCTTTGTTTTCCGATTGTAATTTTTCATGCAGTTTTGATGCAATGTATTATTCTGTTGTTATTTTAGTACCTGACTCACAAAGATTACATATTCTGTTATTTCTTTCAATATTATTACATCTTCCTTGTTCAGTCCTTAAGTTATGTGCCGATATGCATGGCGATTGGTTTTCTGTATTTTAAGGAAGCTCTAAACACTAATGAAAAATGCTTTTTGGGCTTTGAGAAAAATATATCATATAAAGGTACACATATTCAGTGTATCTATATAGGTCATTTTCAACATAGGGTGCCTGCCTTATTTCTGCAGAAAAAAATGTTCAAAGACAATGAACTATTTGAATAGAAATCACTGTTGTTTACTTGCATCGGGAAAATTAATGGAAATAATGTATTTAATTACTTAATCTTCGTCTTTCATAACATTAAGAATACTTTTCTTCATAAAAAATTGTGTCATTAACTGTAGATACTCATTTATACTATTTTTCTTCTAAGGGCAGATCACTGTAACTCAATAAAACTACCCTACAAATAGAACTCTTTAATTAGTGTGCAGTGTTTAGAGCTTCCTTAAATGTATTGGTTTACACAAGTAAGATTTGAGGGTAAAATGTATGACAAGGTGCCTGTTAATTTGACGATTTTACACCTGCTGTCGTATTATTATCTATGTAATAGGTTGCGTCACAATTAGGGATGTCAATTTTACTCGAAAAGCTTAGTAGCCTAAGTCACGCAAGCCGTGTGACCCCCCACTCAAACGCCGTTTGGTGTGAGGCTATCGATTATACAAACGTGTAGGTGACCTAGACTAAAAGCTTAGTCGAATAGTCGGGGGCTTTGTAGCGGACAGTATATGGGAAACTTATGCTGCCTCGCTAGTGAGCTAGCTTTTTAGGTCAATTGAACCACTCAGGTGACCTATTGCTATCTGTTTTCGTCCGTCGTCGTGCGTCGTCCGTCGTGTGTTAACATTTGAACATTTTCAGCTTCTTCTCTGAAACCGCTGAATCAATTTCAGCCAATTTTAGCATATGGCATCTATGTGTGAAGAGGAACAAAATTTGTGAATATCATAGTCCCTGCCCCCCTGGGGCCTGAGGGGTGGGGCTAAAAACCACCAAAATTAATGCAATCTTTAAAAATCTTCTTCTTTACTCCTGGACATCAAGCAGTCAAACTGTTGGCATGATTGTAATAAGCATTGAGTCCTCTACCAAAATTTTGAAATTCATGGCCCCAGGGTCAGGGGTTCTGGTGCTAGGGTGGGGCTATATAAATCATATTATGATAGTGAAAGTGCATTATTTCTTTGAAAATCTTCTTCTCTACTCCTGGGTATTATTGAAACAAATTGAATACATAGTTATGATAAGCAAGGGTGACTCTACCAAATTTGTGAAATTCATGGCCCCAGGGACAGGGGTTCTGGTGCTAGGGCGGGGCTATATAGATGATATTGTGAAAGTGCATTATTTCTTTGAAAATCTTCTTCTCTACTCCTGGGTATTTTTGAAACATATTAAATACATAGTTATGATAAGCAAGAGTGACTCTACCAAAATTGTGAAATTCATGGCCCCAGGGTCAGGGGTTCTGTTGCTGGGGGGGGGGGGGGGGCGCTATATAGATCATATAGTGAAAGTGCATTATTTCTTTGAAAATCTTCTTCTCTACTCCTGGATATTATTGAAACAAATTGAATACATAGTTATGATAAGCAAGAGTGACTCTACCAAAATTGTGAAATTCATAGCCCCAGGGTCAGGGGTTCTGGTGCTAGGGCGGGGCTATATAAATCATATTGTGAAAGTGCATTATTTCTTTGAAAATCTTCTTCTCTACTCCTGGGTATTATTGAAACAAATTAAATACATAGTTATGATAAGCAAGAGTGACTCTACCAAAATTGTGAAATTCATAGCCCCAGGGTCAGGGGTTCTGGTGCTGGGGGGAGGGGGGCTATATAAATCATATTGTGAAAGTGCATTATTTCTTTGAAAATCTTCTTCTCTACTCCTGGGTATTATTGAAACAAATTAAATACATAGTTATGATAAGCATGGGTGACTCTTCCAAAATAGGGATTTTCATGACCCCTGGATCAGGGGTTCTGATGTTAGGGCCAGGCTCTATTTATTATGTAGTGAAAAATTAATGCTTTAAAAATTTTCTTCTCTGCTCCTGGGTATTTTTGAAACAAACAAAGTACATTGTTATGTTAAGCAATGATGCCTCTTCCAAAATTTTGAAATTCGTGGCCCCATGGACAGGGGTTCTGGTTATAGGGTGGGGCTATATAGATCCTATAGTGAAGGTGAATTTTTTGTTTGAAAATCTTCTTCTCTGCCCCTGGCAACAATGTACTTGAAAGGTTAATAGAATAAGAGAATTATGCAAGAATTTTTATTGTATAATAGAAAAAGTATTTTCATAGTTTTAATGATCAGGTAGACTTGTGAGTAATAGATACATGTGTAAATAAAAATGGAGCAAAAATAACTTGTCTTATTAAATGTTCATCAAAGACCAAGAGAGGCCAATGTAAGAGATTTCAACAAGAAATTAAAATAGTACAGAAGCACTGATGGGTTTTTAATATACTGTATAGTGAAAGTGATAAATGGGGAACAGATTAGAATCTAATTTATAAACTGTCAATGAATACTAGATTAATTATTTTGTTGATCCTGATCACCCTATTTTTCTTGCTTTTGGGCAGCAAAGCTTCACCTTTCAGTTCATTTTATACTCTATGGATCCTCTAAATTGTATTATACTCAGGTGACCGTTAAGGCCCTTGGGCCTCTTGTCTAGTGATGCGGTAGTCTCCCTCTATATTAGACAAGTTAAGCAACGCGCCTGTATAAACATTAGATGGGTGACCGCTTCACGTTACAGCTTTATTAGAACGATAGTCGAGTACTCGCTGCGATCTAATTTAATTTTTTAATTCATTTTTCACTGTTTGTCTTTTACAAACTGCTTGTATAATATTTATTTATTATCTACGCTATCAACGTTATACAACCTATTTCTGAATCGTAATTATTTACGTAGCAATAAATATATATTTATCTTATATTTTTTATTTCAAATGTTCACATATATTTAAAAGTTTTCGATTTACAAAATCAATAATTGTTTATGAGAGCCTTGTTTTTCCTAAAGTAAGTGTTGAATTAATATTGTTTGACAGACTGCCATCCAAAAGACTTGGAAAAATTCTCATCTCTCAAGCCATTTAAATCCGATCTCCCTTTGGATTTAAACTCTCTGCATACGATGGAATGTCGAGAAGGGTACACAAAGACGGGGGGAGATGGAAGGGTAAAATGTTTACCCAACGGAAGGTGGAGTGATGTCAATCTACAGTGTGTCGGTAAAATTATAACTTTTCATGTATCTTTACAGTAACATGTTCTTAGCAAAATACGAGAATTATACCTATTTTAAGCTTCATTTCAATCTAGAGGTGGGATTTCTGTAACATAAATTGCCATCAAAAGATCGCAAAGCTTTTATTGAATGAAAAACGAATAATAACCGTAATTCTTAAATTGTAACATATTTTAAAATAACGACCTTGAAACATCACGAAGAAAATGATGTAGTTATTTTGTTCTGTATTCTTATTCTGTACAAATGATGCTGTTATTCTTAGCAAAAATGAATAACGAACATGTACATTCAAACGACTGACGAAAGAACAAACGATATAGAAGACAAAAGAATTGAAACATGAAGGTTTTCATATTAACATTAACAAGAGGCCCGTGAGCCACTTCGCTCACCTGAGCACTATGGCTAGGAAAAAGCTGAAATAAGTTCAGTATTGAAAAGTTTAAATATAAAATATATAAGAGGTCCCAAACAATTAAAGGGTGGGGGGCGTTTTTAACAGACTTGAATCTTCACTTACTGAGGATGCTTCTATATTTCTTTGACTAATCATGGCTTAAGAAAATTTTTGAAGAATATTTTCCAAAAGTTTTATCTTCTATTGTGACCCTGCCCTATATCCTCGGGGGTAAATAATTGATTTAAACAATTTTGATTCTACACTACCTGAAGATGTTAATTTCTGTATTGATATGGCTAATCATTGCTATGCTGTTCTTCAGAAAAGAATATTTATTGATCTATCTTAAATTTTCCGATGCATAAATTTGATCCCCTGTTGTGGCCCCTCCTACCCCCTCCAGTCATTATTTGAACAAACTTGAATCTTCACTACCTTGGGATGGTTCTATTTACTATAATGATTCACTCTGGTTTTTCCGTTCTTAAGAGGAAATTTTTTAAAGATATTTCCTATGTATTCCTATATAAAACTTCGATCACTCACTATGTCAACTCTACCTCCCGGGGTCATGATTTGAAAAAAATTGGATCAAAACTACCTGAGGATGCTTCCATATAAATATAAATCATGACTTTGCTGTTCTTGAGAAGTTCACCTTCGGCTCAGGTAAGCTAAAAAGGGAGGAAAATATTTCCGAGAGAAAATCTTGCATTAGCGGGAGTTCAGTGAACCTTTTCGCAAAAATATCTTTTGAATAATTATGGAAAATAATTATGAAAATGTCCACTCCTTCTTCAAGAATTAAATCTATAGAAGATTAAAAAAATATTTCTATTACATTTGAATACTACGCAAAAATACTTAAGGAAAAATATGCTTATAAAACAGAAAAGTTACAGAGTGCGACTTTTTATCTTAGTTGTAAGATGCTCTTTCATGTGAAAAGGGCTGCGGATTTAGAAGAAGAAGAAATCCTCAGTATTTTCAACAACATGAGTTCGCATTTTAAACTTTGCTAGCAATATAATTATAACAAGATGTGTTTGTGAAATACTGATGCCGTATGGCTTCTTGAAAGGCTAAGGTTAAAGTTTTTCAAATGTACTAGTAGGTCAAACTCAAAGGTTAAGGTCAAGAGGTAAAAAATATGTTGGTACCCAAAGATATGTCTTGTTGCTTAGGTCATACTTGAAGGTCAAGGTCAAGACATCAAAAATATTAGCACCAAAGGAAAGATCTTGTCACAAGAATGCTTAAGTGAAATATGAAAGACCATACACCAACCGTTATGGGCTAGGTTCAGGTATTTAAAAATGAAGGTGAAATTCAAAGGTCAAGAGGTCAAAAATATTGGTACCAAAAGAAAGGTCTTTTTACAAGGAATATATTATTGATATATGAAAGCCCTAGAACCAACATTTATAGGCAAGATTACAGTTTTCTTGAATATAGGTCAAACTCAAAGGTCAAGGTCAAGAGGTCAATAGTGTTGATACCCAAAGAAAGGTCTTGTCACAAGAAGTATACCCGTGTTGTATGAAAGGCCTAGCACTAACCATTCAAAGGTTATGGCCAAGGCTGATTTCTTTTCAAAAGTAGGTCATTAAACTCCAAGGTCAAAATTAGAATGTTTGAACCAAACAAAGGTCTTGTCACATGAAATACATACTATGTGTAATATAAAGCCCTAGCACAAACCATTCAAATGTTATGATCAAGGTTAAAGATGAGGTTGATATTAATCTAGTAAATGTCAGTCTATCTTGATGTAAAACGTGATAAAGCTCTTCAAGTATTGTTCTGAATTTGAAGAAACAATATAATGTCCATCGCTTTTGGATACTTTGCGCGTACTTTTATAAAATTCGACAAATATAACAGTAATGGTCTATCACAAACGGAAAATGTTTTGATGCATTAACTTATTAATTTTTTCATACATGTATTACATGAATCTTTTTTAAATTCTTTTGGAAGATGAAAAACTTCGATACAAGTGCATAAAACGTCCAAGCTCTACAAGAAAATACAGATGGCAAGGAGGAAAGGTACATTATAACACATGAAAAAATCTGTATCACATACAATATCAACCTGGGATTCAAATATCAGGCCGATGGCCATGTATTGTTGTTTTTATTATGCATGTGTATTTGAAAGTAGTTTCCACAATTCAATATGCATTTTTCGATGATTGAAAATGTGTTTTTGTTAAATGTTTCTCTTCATTTTATCTAAAGGTAATCAATTTTTACTAATATGTTAGTTAATCGATGGAAATTTAAAAATGATTTTTCCTCTCAAAAGAGTCCTTGCTATTCGCTTTACATTCATTTCCACGCGGAAAAGATCCGAGGTTCTCCGAAAAAAAATATACAGATAAGGTTTTCCTAAATGGTGCAATAAATGGTGTTATAAAGGATGTGATAAATTGTGTTATAAAGGGTGTGATAAAGGATGTGATAAATGGTGTTATAAAGGGTGTGATAAAGGGTTGATAAAGGGTGAAATAAAGGGTGTGATAAATGGTGTTATAAAGGGTGTGATAAGGGTGAAATAAAGGGTGTGATAAATGGTGAAATAAGGTGTGATAAATGGTGTAATAACACGTGTGATAAATGGTGTAAAAAAGGTGTGATAAATGGTGTAATATAAAGGGTGATAATATATATAGGCTGTGTAATGAATGGCAAGTCCCTAAGAAAATGGCCAATATAGCAGGTACATTTTCAAATAAATGGTTTACATTTGTAAAAACTGATAACTAATTGTGGAAAACCTTTGCAGGTACACGTACAAAATATTTAGAAAATTTATATACTTGATAATATTAATGAATAAATTAAAAATACAAGCCATGAGACAATTAAGTTTATCACTCAATCGGAAAAGATTTCGACTTTTTTCCGATTGTATTGTCATAATCCATTAAAACTCTAAATAATGTTAAATTATAAATAAATTCAAGAGCATTTCACTATTCGGAGTTGAGATACTCTTAAGGCTTGTTTCTTGTTTGCATTTTTTTTAAAGAAATATCTATGTTTGATACATAATTATTTGTTAAATAGTGTGGAACAATATCCCAATCGTTAATGATTGCCTCAGTTCCAATTTTATATCCTATATCATTAAAAACAGGTATATTATTTTTTTAACGATAAATGAATCCGCCTGAAAAATGAATTGCCTTTGGATAAAATGACGATAACCCATTATTCAATAAAGAGATTAAGAACAAATGTTCAATGTTTAATACCATTTATATTTAAACTGTGGGTGCTATTTTCAATCAAATAATAAAAGCAGCAATCCATGGCAAAATTTGTATCATACCCCATATCAACTCTCGACCAATTACAGCCTTCTGGCCTTCAGCCCACGGGTTGGTCTTGGGGTCTCGGGTTGATATAGAAGTAATACAGATTTTTTTTCAAGTATTATACTATTTTATGCATGAAATTAAAAAAAAAAACAGCACAATTCATGCAGATTTTACGGAACTTTTTTTTTTATCAATAAACAGCAACCTACGTACCCGACTATATATATATATATATATATATATATATATATATATATATATATATATATATATATATATATATATATATACACCTGCATATACTTAATTGAAAAAAGCGGACACATAAAACTAATATATACATGTAAATATTGGCTTATACATGTTAAATGTATATCTGTCACGCTAAAAAAAATGGAACTGACAATAAAGATAAAAATGTTGCCATGCCACTACTTTATTGCAGTACTTAAAATTACAGATCTCAACAATCCCTGGAATAATTTTAGAGTGACCCCCTCCCCGTACATACTTTAACTGGTTCTGATAAATAGACAAGTCAAATATTCTCCACGGATAATTTATAAGGCTGTTAATATCGTTATGCTCCAATAGTGCAGTGTTATTGATAATGTTCAGTGCGGGACTTAAAACCGACTCAATATTTTGTCTCGCAATAAAATGTTAATCAGGTCGATCTTCGACATTTACAAAGTATGATCGCTTTGATCAGTTATATCGAGATTATTTGGGGGGGGGGGGGGGGACAAAATGAATGTTCTTATATGATGTTTTATTACTGTCTAAAAGATTTATTTGGGATCTGTACTAAATTAAACTTGTTATTTAAAAAAAAATTAATGTTACAAATATATTGGCAATCCAAAAAAAAAAAAAATAATAATTAGGCGAGAAGCACCACTCGCATAAGGAAATTAATCGCTTTTATTTTGTTTGATATGGGTTTGTGATACAGATTTTGCCATGCATTGCATATTCTCTATATTCTGTATGTCATATGGATGGCTTATGGATGGCTTATTTTGTATACATAATAACACATTTGTAAACATTATAACAAGATATTATTTTCCATGAATAAAATCAAATGAAGTGCTCGCCATTGAATTAATTGACTACAATTAATGTACAGAATAAATGCGAAGGCCTTGGTGGATATCTGGCTGAGATTGAATCTCTCCGAGAATGGGAATTGATCAAGAAAATAAAAAGCGGTAAATAAAATTACTAATTCCTTTTTGAGACTTGCATTTTCTTCAATTTATTAAGTATCTTTACAGGAGTTCAAAATAATACATTAGAAATTTGATTCTTCGTATTGACATCAAACAAGCGTTATTCTGCTTTACTCATCTAATTACGATAATTATAAAACAGTATCTTTTTAGAAAACTGTTCCGGGTCATTGGGCCCCTGGTGGATAGGAGGAAAGGATCGTAAATGGATAAGATCTGGGCAGGCAATTGATCACAGCTTTATACAATGGATAAATCGGGACAATCAGGGTCAGTGTTTACTTGTCGTGGAGGAGGGATGGAAGTTTTTCGAGTGCACGGCCGGAGACAAAGATATCATTTGTGAAAAGGATGGTGTGTTTTGAAATTTTAAAAAAGGAATTGTTATGTGGAACATATTTTTAAATTTCGAATTGAATTTAATTTTTTCTAATAATCTCAATTTGCTTATTCATTTTAGATTTGAGGGTTAAATTGTGAAATCTTTTTTTTTCTCGCCCTCTATTTAATTGTACATTATGATAAATATTCCTCTATCACTCTCTTACATGAACTTATCCACGGATTTTTTTTTTCCATTACGGTAAATGTATGATTCGTAAAACTATGTATGCAAACAAATAAAAAACATACCACACATTTATCTTTATTCATGTATATCTTTAATATTGTCATTGCAGGTAACACCCTATAATGATTTTTTAATCAAATTTTAAATACACTTTTTTGCTTAGCACAATCTCTGATTTTTTTTTCTACGCACAATTTTAATGTTTCTGGTATTATATAATGGCCAAAATGTGCAAATAAATTAAAAGCAAAGCCACGCAGCATGATCCCGATGTTTAACTATTTTTCAAAATACCTTATAATATGAAGTATCAGCATAAAATGTTAAAGTATCAACATATATGTTCAAAAAAAAAAAAAAAAAAAAAATTGAAAAACACTCATTTTTCAAGGCATATGAATCATGATATACTTTTCAGTTTAAGTACTTCAAAATAGTTTCTGTCTTTGTCTATTACTTTAAAATTACTTTCTTTGTCTCGCAGTTAATTTAACAAGTAGTCTTTAGACTATTTTGAAAATCATGGATTTTAAAGCCGGTTGATTGAATTTCTCCCCTCCTCGTGAATGGCCAAGGGGGGGGGGGGGCTTTTGGAGCTTCCTGTCCAAGTACGATTCGATCAAGTTTGGCACAAAATGTGAATCACATATTAGGTATAGTCATTTATAAAATGTATGAGAAAAAACGAAAATTAAACGACAGGAATTTTTTGGAGGGGGGGGGATGTGTTGTACATCCTTAACTTAAAAAAAGGTAATTAAACATGATTTTATTTCATTTTGCTACCCATATCAAAGTTTCTTATCTTCTGTAACAGTTTACTCCTGACATTCTTAAAAAGTAATCAGCTTCACACTTCCAGCGTAAAAAAACACCATTATTGAAAATATCCACACATGATTCTGCCTTTTTTTTTTTATTATCTTCAGGTTTCTTTTTAAATCTGCTTTAATTGATCTTGCTTCATGCGATAGAGTTCCATCTTGGAGCTATGTATCACATCGATTAACTCCGTGCTCATACATCCACCTCCCAAAAAGAAAGAAAATGATTTTTATGCAAAGTTCTGCCAAGCTGCCATATTTTAATTATTTTATTTTTTTAAATTAATTAATTAATTTATTTATTTACATAACGGGGGTGGGGGTGGGTGGGTGACGCAGTAGAAGCCCCCAGCGGGTGCAGGGCAAAGCCCTGGTAGGGGTCCGGGGGCAAAGCCCAAGAAGCTGACGAATTCTTGCTGTAAATAAGAGTTATTTCCTTGATTTTAGGAAAATGGACATATAAGTTCTACATATAAAAATTCAAACCCGGGAGGTTGGGGCGCCGGCGCTGGGTCCGCCTTTGATTTGACTGGCACTTCTCCACTTTTTTCAAACTGGACTGAAATTCTAATGGATTCACGCGACCCAGTACAGTGTAAAAAAAAAAGAGCTCTCTCTCCTAAAGTAAATATATGTGTATTTTCGCCAATTTAAGATGAAATATTTTTTATTAAAAATACGTATGCTACCTGATTGCCACACCGCTGCTCAAGGATAAAGAAAAAAATATGTGTGGTAGTCCTAGATTAGTTTGCACATTTTGAATGATATACGTCTGAGTTTCGAGAAAGAATCCACTTAATTCTATGTTCACGAGGCCAGGAGTTACATGTTGCTCCATCTAAGAAAATTTATTGTGTCTAACTGAAAATGTTGAAAGTGCATCTTAACTGTGTGATGAATTTTGTGATCCGCCCAGCGACTGCCTTTACACACTGATTGTTTATGACGTCAAATAATGAGAGTTGACGTCATATTGCAACAGACGGCGTTCAGGAACATTTGTAAGGTAGTACTATCTTGTTTATTTCTCCAAGTATCTGTAGCAAGAAAAAAATATCTTGCATAGACCTTGTGTAATTTTTATATATAATTTATGACCTAATTATGAAACACATTCGAACTATATGGAAATGTGCATTAATTTTAGGATATTTGTTTACTAGTCGTAAGTCCTTAGGCCGAGGTCCAGAGACGACCATAAATTTATAAAGTTCTACAAGAAAGGGAGGTGGTAAAGTCAGATAATTTACTTTCATGCTCTCGCAGGACAGAATATATATTGCAATGATGACCAGGCAGAAAATTAATTAACTTCCCTAAAAACAAATTGACAAGGAAAGAGGAAGGGGAAATATTCCCTAGGCTAAGGCAATCAGCAATCTTCGGCTGACATACAAAATATTGTGTGAGGTACGATCCACCCGAGGAGCTCCGAGTGATGCTTAGCCATTTGATTCTGAACGGGGGGGGGGGGGCAAATAAATAATCTGTCCTCGAAAAAGTAAGTTGAAAATAATCTGTCCTTAACAGGCAAGAAAATAAATAATCTGTTCTTGACTTGTAAAACTTTGACTTTTGCTCCCCCCCCTTTTTTTTTTTTTGCTTGTCAAACTTTTTTTCCAGTGAAGAAGACAATGAATAATCTCTCCTTAATCATGCTGAAAATAAATAACCTGTCCTTGACTGGTATGAGAATAAATACTCTGAGTCAAAATATTTTGCAAGCCCTCCTTCCCCCGAATCAAATGGTCGCCCCCTAATCCCCAAATCCTAAACCTCTGTAGGCCCTAGATCTAACTCATACTCCGTAGGAAAAGGGGGTAGGTACAACCAGTCCATGTCACGGGTCATATTTTTTTTATTTCCAATGGAGATATACTTGTAGTATTTATTGTGAACATTTGTGAGTTCTAACAGTTAAGCCTATCACCCCCCCCCCCCTTCTTATATATATATATATATATATATATATATATATATATATATATATATATATATATATATATATATATATATATATATATATTAGGGATGTCAACGAATAGTCGACTATTCGACCATCAGTCGAATGGACCGACGATCGAATAATGAAACGACATTCGAATATTATTATAATTAAACAAGCTTAAAAAGATTGGTGAGCTAGCGCTGTAGCATAATAAAATACAGAAGAAGATATCCCAACCATTTGTTTAATTTGCTGAATTGATTAATTATTAATAGGAAGGCAGATTGGTGGTTGAGTTTGTGGGGGGGGGGGGGGGTCACAATTCAGAATGGTGGATCTAAGAGTGTGCTTCACGTCGGCAATGGCACAACTCCTAACTGTGCTTTAAGCATTCTGTATTTTACTGTAATTTCAATTTCGAGGTGAAAAATAAAAGGTCAGTAGAACCAATGAGCACCTTCTAGCCTTTCCGGCAAGCTCGGAAAACATATCCGAGGTTGCCGCGGTTTTTCGAGCTTGCCGGAAAGATCTATGAAGGTAGATTAGAAAGGCTATGTATTCATTACAACTTTAGAAATAACAGTCTTGGTTTTATAAGACCCGAGTTACTGTTACTTTTTGTTCATTTACGTGCAGGTTAGACAACAGAACACGAAACTTCAGATCATATGTATTTTCAGATGATAAACACTAAATTGCCATGTCTCTCCGACATACTTTGAAAAAGATTTTTGTTTTTGTTGTTGTTTTTTCCGAGCTTGCCGGAATTATCCACTAAGATGGTAAAACTGTAAGGAAAGCTAGATGTCTAGAATCTTGGCATTATATGGCCAAATTTTTTCTTGTACTTTTATGTGTAAGTTAGACAATAAATTTAAAAAAAAATTGAGAATCCGGATCTAGACTGGTATTGACTGTCTCTAACGTACGAAATGTATATCGCGCATATCAGACAGGAAAGGCCAGTGTAAATTCGGATCATTTCTATTTTTGTATGACAAAACGAAATTGTTATCGTACAGTCTATCTACAGTAGTTTTCCCAGAATGCCCGTGAAGTCGAGCATGCGTATAATTTCAGAAATATAGACTAACGTAGTTGCTAGCGCTCTCGAGCGCTAGCAATAAATGCAATAAATGAGTAACTGAGAAAATGTCTTTCCTCAGAGACAGGCGATAAGATAATTTTTCTAAACAAAAAAGCGGTTGTTTTTCCCTGTACGTATAGAAATACTGTTATGTACTTATAAATGCTTCACTAATGCGAGAAGTTGCCAGTAACGGCCTGTGTTGTTTTTGTAATAAATTACTAATATACTGGGCTTTGTTTGTAAGAATATTAAATGGATGTATACCATGTACCAATTATCTTTTGTTATCTCAAGATTGCTCAAATGCAAGGAACAAACCATAGCTGTGACATGTTTTGACACTTCGATAATTATTACATTTATTATTAAAACAATTCGCTTACATTTTAAACTGTTTAAGGACATTTTGATAACCAGAGCAATGAATAATTGAATAAGCAGTATCTAACTGTTTAACAATTTCATAGGCACTTGACATGTAAAAAGTGTGAGGTTAACCCCCCCCCCCATTTATTTCAAAATAAGCTTTAAAAAATATCGGCTGTCAATTTTTTGATGCTTACTAAAATAAAAACTGACTGCATGACTGTACAGACCGATTACTGATTTCTGCTGAAATCATACATTTTGGAGAATTAGGTTTCTAAATTTATTTCATATAATCATGCTATCCACGCGTTACGTTGTATTACTTTTGTATTACTTTTGATGGTACTTTTTAAATATATTTAAGTAAAAGGGTTTTTGAGTTATAAATACGTCATGTAGCAGTGAAGTTTGAAAAAAAAAATTTTCAGAAAATGTTCCGAATATTCGACTATCGTTCGAATAATGCAATCGAATAATTGACTAAGGAAAATAAATATTTTGACATCCCTAATATGCCTAATATATATATATATATATATATATATATATATATATATATATATATATATATATATATATATATATATATATATATATATATATATATATATATTACATTTTCAACAGTGAAATACTGTGATTTATTTATTGAATAAAAGTGATATTCTCTCACAGTGTGAAAGGATACCAAAATGATATTCTCTCACAGTGTGAAAGGATATCAAAGTAAGTAAAAAATAATTTCTGGCCTGTCATAAGATAGAGATAGTAGCTAAGCATCTTGATAGAGCTAAAACTGGAAATTTCTTACCAAATATGTTGCTAAAATCCATGCTATGTGATGTTTTCTGCATGCTAAGCTATGACGTCTCAACCGCTCAACTATGACGTCAAGCCTATGACACTGTGTTAAGAAAAGACAGAGGCAAAGGGAAAATCAAAGAAAATGTAATAAACAGAAAATTCAATGTTTTGTAGATGAATATGGAATTTATTTCACTCGTGAGACAGGATTTTTTGATATTTTCACTCGTGCTTCGCACTCGTGAAAATATCAAAAAATCCTGTCCCACTCGTGAAATAAATTTCATATTCATCTACAAAACTTTGAATATCCTCTATTTATATATATATATATATATATATATATATATATATATATATATATATATATATATATATATATATATATATATATATATAGATAGATAGATAGATAGATAGATAGATAGATAGATAGATAGATAGATAGATAGATAGATAGATAGATATTTTATCATATTTACAACATGATCATAACATTATTGATTTATTTATGACTTCAGATTAAATTTCTATCTTTGATGCTTGTGACACCAAACCCACTTTTAACTGTTTTTGTTTATTGAATAGATCAAACTGTATAAGCGGGAAATCAAAGAATTTTTTTTATCAGACCTAAACGAGACATGTACACTTACAGTAGTCCAAAGTATCCAAAGTGGCAATTAAAGTGAAACAAGAATAACTTTAGGGTTTCTTTTTGGTTTACGACAGTTTCTCTTTACAGTCATAACCTTTTTATTTAAATAAATTCAAAGAAGACACAACACTCTTTGTTTACACTTTGTTTATTTATTTATTTCTTTTTATCATTATTTTTTTTTTACATTTAAATATCTACACTGTAAAGATATTATGCTCTAGTAAAGGGTTCTAGGATGACATTCAATTCATGAATTTTTCCCAGACAGATATCTCCAATATTTCAACTTCCAAAGAAAATACCCCCGCCAAGCTGAGTCCCGTTTTTCTGAAATTTGTAGTTAAACTTAAGCAGAAGCATATGTACTTGATGACTGATTTATTTATAAGCATATGTACGTGATTGAATGATTTACTTATAGGCATATGTACGTGATGAATAATTTTCTTTTAAGCATATGTACGTGATGAATGATTTACTTACAAGCATATGTACGTAATGAACGATTTACTTATAAGCATATATATGTGATGAATGATTTACTTATATTATAAGCAGGTGTACGCGATGAACGATTTACTTATAATGTACGCGATGAACGATTTACTTACAAGCATATATACGCGATAAACGATTTACTTATAAGCATGTGTACGTGATGTATGATTAACTTATAAGCATAAGCATGTGTACGTAATGAATGATTTACTAGAAAGAATGTGTAGTGTACGTAATGAATGATTTACTTAAAAGAATATGTACGTGATGAATGATTTACTTATAAGCATGTGCACGTGATGAATGATTTACTTATAAGCATGTGTACGTGATGAGTGGTTTACTTAGTTCGATGATGAAGAACATCGTATTTTAGTTTCCATAATAAAGCCACTTGACGATTTGCTGGTGTTTTAATTTTCATCATAAGGTTTTGAAACACAATACGAACAATTGACGAATAATATATCTTATCATTTAATTATGACATGTCGACTTGAAATCTACCTGACCTCTCTTAGTCATATGAAACTAGTTTAAAGCTGCTGTAAGAAATGAAAGAAGTATACATAACTTAAAAAAAACAATAAATTTTGCTTTAACATTAAATTTTTATATAATATGAATGTTTATTTTGTGTTTCTTTTAATTTCAGACGTTAAAGAATATACCAATATGAATGTGTACAGTCTGGTATTGTTCCTCGGTGCCATTTGCGCATCTCTTAATTTGAGTGCTAGTCGTGTGCCCACTACGACGCGTAGAATGAAACGTATGTATAAAATTCTAAACTCTCTTTCTGATGGAAGAATATCTACCATCTGTCTAGTTGTCTGTGAATCTGTCAATCACTCATGTGTCGTCTGAAAACTTTTCACATTTTCCAATTCCATATCTTCTCCAGGATTAACATACATTATCAAATCTTGTCAGTTGATGCATCCTGGAGGGAGGAATGTGTCAAGTCATAAACGTAGGTCGACCTCATTTTGGAATTTTATAGATTCAAAATATCTTACGCAGTATGAGACATCATCAAAGTTTGTTGATACATTGTTGGCCACATTGCTATCTATATGTATACCCGGTATATGACAGTCAATCATATCGCGTGGGACATCTATAGGTTCATTAAACCTTGTCAATTGATGCATAAATTGGGAAAACTTTTAAGATCCAAAAAATTTTATGGCAATCCAAGTCAACTCATGTCTGGGTGATGATCATATCTTTTTCAATGAGAAACATTTTTAGTTTATGCATCTTTGGGGCATGGAGCGTCATGACCCAAATGTAGGTCATTTGACCTCTTTTGACATTTATTTATATGGTTATTTTTAAGTTATAGAGAACTTCATGAATGCAGTAACTTGTTTCCAGTTGTAGTTGCAAATGACAAATATAGCTTGAGGAATCAAATATATACATGAACAAATATATATTCCTGTAGTTCCCAGGCCCGTAGAAAGCAATTTCAGTTTGGGGGCACAGCCGTACATTTTCAGTTGCGGGGGCACTATCAACTACCAAAAATTCCTTGACAAGCAAAAAAAGAAAAAAAAAGTCATCAATCAGACGTTTTTATTGAGGGGGCACAAGCATATAGTATCTATGTTTTCTATATTAATCTATATATCGGCAAAAGTATTGGGGGGGGGGGGGCACCCCCCCCCCCTCCGTGCTCCCCCGGTTCCTACGGCCATGGGTTCCACACAGGTGTATTAATTAGGTACCATATAGCTAGCAGTACACTTTATATTATTTTAATTTGTGTCTGATAGTGGAAAAATAGTGCTGTTGGTATTTAAACGGTGACTGCTGCACCACCCCCACCGCTCAAATTGACTAATTTACTAGTTACCTAAATGTAAGAGACTTTCATTTTTTCCTCTCTCTTCTTTTTTTTTTTTATTTTTTTTATTTTTTTTTTTGGGGGGGGGGGGTATATTAACCACCCACACTCCTACAAGTAAGAGCCTCGGTTAACGTCCTTAAGCTCCTTATATACCTCGGACTCTACAAAATCGTCATTATTTCAATTTGTCACCAGAATTACTTTCGATTTCACTTCATGTTAATTTTGCGGATTGCTAGTCAGAAAACGAAAATTTCAGTAAACTAGTTTCGTTTGGTCAGATTTTCTGCATTCCATTCCCGAATTTCAATCAGACGACTTGTTTTAATTTCTGCTTCGATTTTAAAAATAATGGATTTGTCGCTAATACGAGAGATTAACATTGTTTTATGTGTAAGTGTTATCGCAAATAGTGAATATTTTATTGTTTCGTGTCATTCGTTAATGTTTAAAGCCTGAATTTTTAATTAAACAATTTATTTCCACTTGGGGTTTCAGCGGCGAGAATTTTTACAATGGATGCTAGAGGTTACGCGGCGCCAAGTCAAAAATATCTCGCCGTGAACCTTTAGCATGCTGGAGTACCACAGTGTGCGAAATTAACGCCTGTCCGATGGTCCGAATCTATCTCGAATTGAATTGGGCTACCCCAATCCGAATTGAAACAGACCGAATTGTCTATCCCAATTTTGGCCATGGATAAAATGAGCTTGAACAAGAATGACCATTTCGTATTTTTAACATGTAATTATAAATAAAATAATTGTGAAAAAATAATTTAATACTTTTATATTTTACATGGTAAAGATCTGTTGTTAAATCTCTTTACTTATTAATTTATAACATTGTGCATCTTTCGGTGAATTAGCGGTGTACTATTTTTACCCAATGTATATCAGGCACGCTACAAATCCAAACTGCGGGAAGCATGGCATTAAAACACAAATTGAATAAACAAAAAGACAACCAAAAAGAATGAAAATAAAATAATGAATCCGAAAAAAAGGAAAGCTATAAAGATGAAATTAAAGTTTGTGTCTTTCACAAATATTAACTGGTCTGCAGAGTGAAGTTCATATACGACTGGTACAGTTTTATTGGGTGTGAAATACACGAACACTGCATGATTATATTTAATTTTCACTAGATAATAATGAAAATATATAGCAGATACTTCAATAAGAATATAAATGAATAAATTTAAAAAAAAAATATATATATATCAACAATAACAAGTGCACATTTTTTCCAAGTTTACTTTCTTTGGACATTCCCATTTGTCTACGGTCTATCCCAATTTAAAATGAGATAGTCCAATGGGCTATTTCATTCTCCAGATTAGTTTTGCACACTGGTACCACACCGGCTGTCTTATACATGTAAAATTTTCACCCCCACAGATCAGAAGTTAGGATCTTTAGGAACATTTTTCAAATCTCAAACAGAAGTAGAATAACTTAAATGAGAGGTAAAATATATTTTAAAAGTATTGTCGAATATTAACAGCAATATTGCAATGTATAATGATATACGTAAAAGCTAGTATAGATGTACCTTGCATACGAAATAATCTAGATAAGGATCATAATATTATAGAGAGTTTGGAGAAGGTTTTGGTCTGTATGTCAGTTTCGAATATTTTTAATATTCCCAACAATCAAAATGAATTTGAATTGCCATACCTACATGTATACTGGATTCTAAAACACCATAGAAATCCTCACAAACATAGCGGGTTCCAGTAATATTCTAATTGTACCAAGCCTCTTTCTTTACTAACTCCTCACTAAAATATTAACAGCAGTGAAGGAGAAACTTGAGAAGTGCTGTACAACAGTATATTTCAGTAGAAGTGTTCATTAGATATAGATACTTAAAAAATTCAAGGAACTTTTGAAACATTTGAAATAACAAAATTTATCAAAATCAATAACATCAAAACGTACGACTTTTCAACACTTCATACAACCATTCCCTACGATAAAGTCCAAGCTTTTTGACATCAAAGACAGCTGATTTTTCAATAAAAACGAATCTCGTAAATGTACTTACCTTGTCATTGGTCATTTGCAAAAATTATTTTGTTAAAATACATTTCGATTTATGTACACACAAGTACAGTACTCTGAAGTTGATATTAAAAAGATGCTTGAGTTTCTGATTGACAATATCAATTTGGTTTCGGGAGACAAGACTCCAGGATCAGGAAACAGACTTATACTTAAGTCAAATTTTCAATCGCTTATAAAATGTTTATTTATTACTGAATTATTCCCTAAATTTGCAGATAACAAGAATTTTGTGAAGCAGTGTGGAAGAATATTCTAATTTTGGTCTGCTTGACTTCTACAACATTTTAGTACAGACATAAAGATTTTGACTCAAGCTTAAGATGTTTTATGATCTTGAGGCCAGGTCCTCCAACAATCTGTTGGAATTCCCATGGGCACCAATTGCACCCCGTTATTAGTAGCATTTATTCAGAAACTTCTTTACATGTCATTGAGAGGAAGAAAAGCGCTTACTGTACCTTCAACTCGACATTTAGATATATATCGACGACTATCGACGATTATCATATAAGGGTGAATTTAAAAAAATGACCACCAAACTGAAATTTTGTGGAAAAAATCAAGTACTTATAACATATTTTTCACTTATATCATCATATTGCACATGCATTCTAGTTTAAAACCCTGAAGTGGCAATATAATAGACAATTGGGTAAAAAAGTTTCAGAATTTTTATCAGTAAAATTTCTTTTGAAAAAAGAAAATATCATTACACCTTAAAAGACCTAAAATACATAATCACAAGAAATTATAGTTTTTTATGCTTCAAAATGGTAAAATGGATATAAATGATTAAATCTAGACCTTGATTGAGTATTTTCTCTTGTATATGTAACAAAAATTGGCTTTTTGATTGATATTTTACATTATTTTTTCAATTCTGGTTTGAAATGTTTTAATATGAAAAAAATATGAAGCAATAAAAATCCCCAAAATTCATTTTTATGCACCGCCATGAATATGGCCGGGGCATATAGTGTTTGTCATGTCCGTCTTCCGTCCTACCGTCCTTTGTCCTTCCGTCCTTCCGCCACACTTTGCATTTAGCTCTGTTCAAAGCTCAGTTTCAAAGAAACTATCCAAGATATTTTTATCAAACTTCATATGTTGATACATACTTATGTAAGCTATTCAACTGCATCAACATTATTTGACCTTGTCCTTTCCTTTGACCTTGACCTCACTTTTCTTAAATTAGTGTTTAGCACAGTTTTAAAGATACCAATCAAGATAGTGTAATCAAACTTCAGATGTTGATACATACTGATGTAAGCTATTCCACTGCATCAACATTTTTTGACCTTGACCTTTCCTTTGACCTTGACCTCACTTTTCTTAAATTAGTGTTTAGCTCAGTTTTAAAGATACCATTCAAGATAGTGTAATCAAACTTCATATGTTGATACATACTTATGTAAGCTATTCAACTGCATCAACATTTTTTGACCTTGACCTTTCCTTTGACCTTGACCTCACTTTTCTTAAATTAGTGTTTAGCACAGTTTTAAAGATACCATTCAAGATAGTGTAATCAAACTTCAGATTTTGATACATACTGATGCAAGCTATTCAACTGCATCAACATTTTTTGACCTTGACCTTTCTTTTGACCTTGACCTCATTTTCTTAAATAAGTGTTTAGCTCAGTTTTAATGAAACAATTCAAAATATTTTTAACAAACTTCATATGCTGATACATACTGATGAGAGCTATTCAAATGCATCAATATTTTTTACCTTGACCTTTCCTTTGACCTTGACCTCACTTTTCTTAAATAAGTTTTTAGCTCAGTTTTAAAGATACCATTCAAGATAGTGTTATCAAACTTCATATGCTGATACATACTTATGTAAGCTATTCAACTGCATCAACATTTTTTGACCTTGACCTTTCCTTTGACCTTGACCTCACTTTTCTTAAATAAGTGTCAAACTTCATATGCTGATACATACTGACAAGAGCTATTCAACTGCATCAATATTTTTGACCTTGACCTTTCCTTTGACCTTGACCTCACTTTTCTTAAATTAGTGTTTAGCTCAGTTTTAAAGAAACCATTCATAATATTTTTATCAAACTTCATATGTTAATACATACTGATGTAACCTTTTCAACTGCATCAACAATTTTTGACCTTGACCTTTCCTGTGACCTTGACCTCACTTTTCTTAAATTAGTGTCAAACTTCATATGCTGATACATACTGATGTAAGCTATTCAACTGCATCAATATTTTTTCACCTTGAACTTTCCTTTGACCTTGACCTCACTTTTCTCAATTTGTGTTAAAATGTTGCATTACTAATATATCCTCGGCGGGGCATTCATGTCCTATGGACATATTTCTAGTTTTTTGGTCTGTTCAAGTCAATTCTTTAAATCTAAGCCGAAAAGAGTTTTTTTGTACGAATTTTCTTACAAAAAATACTAGATTTTGAAGTGACCCTTTGTTACATTATTGTGTTGCACTCCTGACATCTGATATGTATTTCATTTAACATTGTTTTAAAAACTATAACACACAATAACCCATTCTTACTTTGTAAATCAATTTGTCGTTCCGATATTTTTCATCGTTTATGGCAGGTTTTTCATATTTGAAGACCTTAAAACATGATAATTTGCAAAGTATAATATATATAAATTGTATTTGAAAATATATATATATGTGAAATGATGAAAACTATTCCCTGAATTGACTGTAAAATTTCTGTAATTTGTTGATAGACGTTGTGTTTTGAACATCAAATAGTACCAAACATTTTTTTCAACTTATTTTTTAGTAAAGATAGTTAAAAAGCATTGGTAATTATAAAGCAGTTTTGTTGCACTCCTGACTGCAATAAAATTTAAAATTAAAACCATATAACACAAAAATTCATAGAGTGTTGGCAACATCGAGTGGTAATGAAATTGTGCAATATTCATAGCCCAATACTTCAGTATTAAACAGATAAAAGTATTAAAAATCGCATTTTATCTAAAATTATTCCCTATTCATGCCAAAAAACTAGCTTAAATGTATATTTAGAAGATAAAAAAAAATTTAATGCATATTTTTCTTTAGAGAACAAACACAGTAACCCACCAGAAAAATTCTACTCATCATTTTTTCTTTATCTCTATTCTTATTGGATGATTTATAATTCTAACATATTTGTTGCATTCCTGACCAAAAGCATTGGGGCCTTTAAAGCAGAATTGTGGAGTGAAAATTACTTAAGAACTTGTTCTGTTGTTTCAGTGAAGTTGAGGAGGAATTACTTGAATTTTATGACAATTTTTAGTGTGTTTATTTTTAACATTCATTAAAAAATCACAAAAAAGATAAAAACACATCTGAATAGATAAAATTGAAAAAGGAAAGATTTTAATGATAAAACTGTCAATAATTTAGTATTAAGTTATACAAAAAGATCATTATTAATTAATGAATACTTCTAAGCATGAATAGAACTGTTTTCGTCACACAATTTGAATCTTTAAAAAAAAATATGTTGCACTCCTGACCATAGAAATATAGATCTGAAGCACAGCCATATCCTGTAATTGATAAATCTACTTAGTAAAAATGTTCTTTGTGTCTTTATTTTTCAAAATAAAAATCAGAAAATCATATAACGATAATAGTTTTTTCATGCTTGGGAGCAAAACATCAAATGTTGCACTCCTGACATTATTGGGTATGCACATATACTTGACTCTCATAAATGCTGCTTGTGATTTATATAAAATTTTTAATTTTTAAAATGTATATCAGTTATTATTTTACACTTCAAAAATTCTTTTTTGTCTTAATTTTCTTTCAGAATTTTACAATCGACGTTTTTTTGGCAACACTACATTTTTTCTGTTGCACTCCTGACATGGTATAACATTTTTTTAAACATCAGCCATGACCACAACTTGATTAAACAAAAGTTACTACAGTCCACATTTAAAGCTCAATACTTTGAATATTATCAGGAAAGTCTTTATTTTCAACATAAAGCAGTATTATTTATTTCATAGATCTCCAAAAAATATTGAAATTTCAAAATGTCACAAAAAGGTGTTGCACTCCTGACAATTTTAGCATCATTTTTGGGCATAACTTTTTTGTTAATTGAGATATCAACGAGATATTTGGCAGGTATTTAGACACTATCTAAAAACATATGCTGAGACATAGAAATCTATTTTCATTGCCTGTATTTTTAGTGTGGGTTGATAAATATGCGTTTGGTCATTTTTTTTTTTTTTTGAATTCACCCATAACAAAAGTTTAACAAATGCTGACTGACGTATTTCATACTAGTTGTTAGGCCATTGCATGTATTTACACATTGAAATTTCTACGAATTTTTCCTTTTATCCGATCATGACAAGGAGAACACGGCGGATGTGACCGGTCGACAGGGGATGCTTACTCCTCCTGCACCTGAACTCTGATCTTTTAGGAGGTCCGGTTTTACTCTACTCCCGATTTGTATTATTTAAATGAAATATGAACTTGAATTAAACTTGATTTTTTTAGACCTCATCCAAGATGATAAAAAAAATTCAAGTTTGTTTCTTGTAACCCAACCCATTCAAATTGACCCCGGTTGGATTTTTTGTGCCAAATCTCAATCAGCTGATTCAATTTATACATTTTTTTTGAATTGTAGCTTTATTTGAGATATAAAATATGTCAACCTAGTCAACATTTACCTTAACTTAAAAGAGTATTCATTTTTATAACATGAAGCTTTTCTCCCACAACTTTTTGAAGTTCGTTTTCTGCCGCTAGAAAGCCATGTTGGGTGCCCGCTGTAAATGTCACACCAAGTCAATTAAGTCCGGGTTGTTTGACCCTATGATTCATTGGCACCAAAAAAAAAAAATCCAGACCTACCGACCCTTGATTTTTTGGGAATGTTACAGGAAACAAATATAATATTTTTAGGCCAGATTACCATAATTTTTTTTAAACATAAAAACATTGATGATCCACGACCAGATCATAATTCTGTTCTGACCAAATATACTAGTAGGCCCTGTATTGTTATTGATTAAAATAAAGCATGAAAAAGGCATTTAATCATTCTTTAAATCTTAGCTTGTAGATCTTCATTGTAGCCTGTGGGTTTTATATATACAGGCTAAAATTAGCCTGTGGTTAAAAAAGTTAATTTCGATCCCTGGGCTGGGATTCATAAAACTTCTAAGTATAATCTTAAGTTTAAAAAATCACTTAAGTTTTATATTTTATACTTAAGTCCCCTAAGTATCACTTAAATTTGGTAGAAATACTTAAGTGTAATTCATAAACATATTTAGTGCTTAAGTATTGACTTAAAATTAAGTGTCCTCAGGAGGTGTCTTAAGTAGATAAGAAATACTTAAGTTTTCTTTCTCAAAATAACAAAACAATAAAAACTGGAGACCAACACCCTGAGGTTCAAATTGCGGAAGATTCTCACGTGTGGATACCGAAAGGTATTCAATAGGGTCTGTACCTAAAGTTATAAACTAGAAGATATAAAACAGATCACCAACACTTCGTGAGAATGCAGCAGTAAATTTATTTGGTCTCAAAATAAAAATAATGCTTTACAGAAGACATTTTACTCTTTCAGTAAGAAACCATGCTATTACATCCAACTAGAAACTTGTTTTGAATTTGAGATCTTTATCACCTGGTAAGATGCAGTATTGTGCAATGTTGATGACAAAGTTGTATCAGTTGTGATGTAATACACATGGAATTAAATACCTCCATCACAAAAGAGTGTGCATTTTGTTCGGGAAATTGTATGCGTTGCTAGGGTGACCTAACTTAAGTGCTATAATTTTCTCAGAATTAAACTTAGCTAAGAATTGCACTTAGAATTTATGTGAATATGACTTAAGAATTTTTTCTAAGCTAAGAATTTATTTTATACTTAAGTGTGAAACTTAGCACAAATCTTAAGTGTGTTTATGAATCCCACCCCTGGAATACTCTTCTTTATCTCCATATTTCATTGAATGTCTCTTCAGTGAATTGCAGTATTTTTTTATAGCTAATGCGAGCTGAAAGCTCAAGTAAGCTTTTCAGATTGCATTTAATATTGTAAGGCGTCCTTTCGCATTCTTTTAGCATTTTCGAATTCTCCCATAGTATATCTCCGGTCCAAACATAATGAGACCTGCCACAGAGTATCCTTATGTTAGTTTTGCCTTTATCTCTGTTCATTTGTTCTTTTATTTTTTATTTTAGAATATATGGACTATATGCTTAGAGGTTCAAAATGGAATTGGAAACACAAAAAAACATACGCCATCGTGAAAACGGGGATGGGATATGCAGATATTGACGTTGTTTCCAAATACAGGTTAGATGGGCGGACAAACACGAGACCTAAACTTCCACCTAGACCCCCTAGACTACCACTAGGCGGCAGAAAAACAGGAACAAAGAGGCCCAAACCGACACCAAAACCAGGCGGAGGACGCAGACCAGAAACAAAGAAGCCCAAACCGACACCAAAACCAGTAACTACGACACCTAAGCTAGGTATTTATCTTTAGCTCTATATGTCATAGATTAGCAAAAATTTACAATGTAAGGTACATGTATGAGAAAGTATTGGTTCGTATACTAGCTGTTTGTTCTTATTAAGATAGAAAAATTTAGGTTGTTTGGTGAAATGTACAAGTTTTTCAGTATTGTAACGTTATTTAAGGAATAGCTCTCTGGTGTATGAATTTTTAAGGATTATGATGTGATCAAACAGTTTGCTCGCCGAAGGCGATTTTGCAAAAAATTCCTAAATTATTACGTGGGCAAACTATTTGATCATCATCATAAAACCAAAACACCAGACAGTTATTTCTCTTACTTTTACGTTTCTTTCTGATAGACATTACCAAAAGTACAATTATTTTGTTGGAGTTTATATACCTCTGACTGTGTGATTTTAACAGCAAGAAGCAGAGACATAAATTATTTAGGCAACTCCGTCACGTGATTCTGTTTGTTTTAAGCTCTGCTGGTCAGAGAATGGAAGAGTTAACTTATGCGATGATAACTAGTAGATGGTCGTTGTCCATCCGTCTGTCTATCTGTAAATAATTTTTCAAAATGCTACTCCTCCCATAATTTTGTATTTTTTGTCTGATTTCAATATATATATTCACCTATTTATAAGTCGGGTTTTTGGGAAGTTTTTTGGAAGGTAAACTTTGGTCCAAATCTCTGTCCGACTTTTATTAAAAAAAAAAATCGGAATTTTTCTGGAGGAGGAAAGTAATTCTGTATTAACTCTAGACAACAATAACCGTTTGTAAAGGTCGAAACTTAATCAAATGAAGAAAAGGCAGATCTAAGGTTACCATATATATGCATAAAACACAGGTTTGAATGATTTTTATTTTTGATCAAATTATTACTAAAAGATCAAATGTCGATTTGAATATAAATCTCAACTTGGCAACAGATTCTGGCAAATAACCTACTGACTTATAAGTGGGTCAATTGCAAATTATTCCTCCAAAATAATTTGAAAAAAAATACAGTCGATTTATAAGCGAATTGGCTTATTTGCGATTATATACGGTAGCTGGGTACACAAGTAAAATATACTAAGATACAGAATTCCGTGTATCTGGTTTTGATGAACGGCATTGCCATGGCTATTATAAATATAGATTTCTGTGAAATTCTTTCTTCTTCTACAGTTTTGGTCGGATTTCAGTTAACCTTTTTACGCACGTTAAGCAGACTGCACTAAGATACATAATTCATTAAATTCATGATTATTTTTTTTTTTAATTTTTACGGCGTTTCCATGGTTACTATACTTGAAAATTTCTGTGAAAATTCTTTCAAAGAGCTACTTTTTCTACAGGTTTGATCTGATTCCAATAAAAGTTTTTACACAAGCAGATATACTCAGACACCTAACTCTATATCAATTTTTGATTTCGATGAATAATGTTGTCATGGTTACTAAAAAAGATATTCCAAAAATTTCTTTCAAAATGTTTCTTCTATAAATATACAGTTTTGGTCCGATTTCAATTAAACTTGGTGCACTAGTAGATTCACTCAGTTTCATATTTAAAAAAAAAAAAAAAAAAAAAAAAGGTGTTGTAATGGTTATTAAAAATAGACATCTCTGTGAAATTCTTTCAAAAGGCTACTCCTACATAATATTCAGTTAAAGTACATCATTGAGGGTGTCAGCAAGATTCCAGTTCCCCAAGAGCAAGTCTATTTCCCGAGGCACAGCCGAGGGAAATAGGCTTGCTCGAGGGGAACTGGAATCTTGCTGACTCCGTCAATGATATAGTTTAACTGTTTTCTTATACCGATACTAAAATTAGACTATTTTTAAAATCCGTAACTGCAATTCTATTTTATACGCAGGGCAATTACATTTATAAGGTGCAATGGAAACTCAGAATGTAGATAAAATAAATAAATTCAATAGAAGGTCTTTAATTGTATTTGAATCAATGGTCTTACTCTGTAAAATACATGCAACTGCAAGCGACACTCTTTTTGAATGTATTTTATAAACAATTTCATTTACACCTTAACAATGTTCAGTGATCCGTCTTGCTTTCAGTGCACATATTTAACCACGAATGTTGACGTCACAATAAGCAATGCGTACTCATTTCTCGTGTAAACTTGGCCCCGCCTCCCTATATGTAACATTAAGCTGCTTTATGAATATTCATGATTTTATTTGGCACATATCGGTACTTTTCGTATGAATAAAAGAAATTGCTAGGTGTTCCGAATAGGTGTGTATCAGTTCATCAAACTGACGCACCTTTTTGCAGGGAATCAGTCTTTTTAGAATCAGCAGAATACATGTATTATTATAACAGTAACTTGATCCGAAGAGTCGTACACGGTATCACGTCAAGTTGACAGGCGCGGATCATCAGATCAAACGAGACGCGAAGCGTCGAGTTTGATCTGATGATCCGCGCCTGTCAACGAGACGTGATACGGCTCTTCGGATCAAGTTACTGTTATAATGATAAATTTATTATATACCCCTTCACAACTAGCAAAATATAATAAAAGGAAACTTTTTGGATCAATTACACAACTTTTATCCATTAAACAAACCATTTTGTCAAGGAACTTATTGATGCGCGAGAATAAAAACGTCATTTATCTGTGTACTACGTCATCAGTTTCAGAGACGGGTGGTATGGATTCAGAAAACCGCAGTGTGGTGATTCGGAACGTCGGATCACACCGTCACGTGAATGCATAAATTCAACTGTAAAACTGAGTGACAAACAGTTGGGTGTATAATAAATTGGGAGATTCATTTTTTTCGAATCTGATGTCAACTTCCTATTCATCCCTGTATCTGTCCGTAAATGAACTTGTTTATATTCACATCAGCTATTCACATAAGAGCGGATGTACTACTAGTGAGTATTGGCTCACAGACTTCTTGTTTTTTAAACCACACCTATTTCCCCATAATGAGCAAATGGCTTAGTTTATGAAGATACCAAGTTATTTAAGAAATAATTCACGCGTCGGAGGAATTGTTGGAGAATATATACCCCGATATTAGACAGATTTTGTTGGCAAATAAAAACCGAGCACGAGGTTTCATTCTGCTACTGCGAATATGAAGCTAGATTTGGACGTCATCTAAGTGTCTTTTGACGTCAGAATCGAACGAATGCTATCTTCGTCCATTTGTATCTCAAGCATTAGAAAAAGTGCGGTGTAATCCGAACCCAAAGTAATTTTTCCCTCCAATTTGCGTCACAATCAAAAGATACCTCTATCCTTTCCCTAGTAAACACAGTCAAAATTAGAGTAAACTGATTTAAAATTACTGATAATGTGATGACGTTTGTGATTTATTGGAGAATAATGGCCGCGGCATCTCTTTGATCTTTGCGATAACCGTAGTAGAATTTCTTATAATATATCGTACAAAGACTTGAAAATGTTTAATAAAAAATTCCATCCAATCTGACCACATCCATGTTTCCTCAGCCTCAAAAAGAACAGCGTTGTTCAAATAGCAGGATTTGTCTATGATGCCACGTAAATCTGCAATACTGTTGCAATCTGTTTCCCTATACAGATGCTAGATGTGGACAAAAAGTTTGAGTCTAACAGCTCAGGCATTAACAAATTTAACGCTACCAATCAATGATAAAAAAATAAGTTGAATAATGGTATGCATTTTTAATTTAAAAGTGAAGTGTACATTGCGTGACCTGGAACCTGCATCATAAAAGTAATTTGCTGGTGAATTTGCTGCTGATGTTTATTGTTGATCAAAAATGCTTACCTGAAATTGGTCCATCAGTTGAGGATGTAAAAACAAACGAGTGACTTACACATACAGAAGTGAAATATGCAATTTCACGTCGTTGATTTTAGACGCAAATTTTTACGTTACGTCATAATTGAGCTAAGGGAGGTTTTTGTTGGCGGGTCACACTTTGAATAACATTTAATATTGAAAAAAATCCTGCAAATTTATGTGCGTAAATTATCGTGTGACCTTTTTACTGTAAAAATATATATGGGGTACCTGTATCAAAAATCTAAACAGGCAATAAGTTTTTTTTGTTTTTTTTTTTTTTTTTGGTTTGTTTATTTGTTTGGTTTCTTTCCCAAACTTCTTGTAACTTTAGTGCTGATCGGTTTAAAGTATCAAATAGTTTAAAAAATGACAAAAAAAGAAGGGGCCAGTGATGTAAATTTTGAGATATTAGCCAAAATACGCGATTTTCAGAAATAACAAAGTAAATTTTCTGCTGCGTGGATGTGTAAAAGAGCTAAGTCCACGAAGCATCAAAAACGGCCTCTTCTCAAAAATTAATGTTATGTTTATTATAGATAATATAGAATTTTTGCTTTTCATAACCATTTTCCTTTTTTCAATATCTATTATAGTTTTTGAAAAATAGGTATTGCAATATGGCAGTGTTTTGATAGAAAAAGGCAGTAGGAAAGTCATTTTTTGTAATGTAATGTCACGTCAAAGAGCGATAGAAATGACTTAAAGTTTGCAATTACAATGTAGAAATATACGAATTTAAGACTTGAAATTGAATAATTGGAGATAGATATTTATTAAATCAACATCATTTAATTTAGAACCATAAATTTAAAAAAAAAAAAAAAAAAAAAAACAGATAAAAGAGTTCATTTGATATACCAGTCAATTCTGACTGGATAGAATTGAAAAAATCTTTTCAATGGAAAATGACGACAACTGCAGTATTTTTAGATCAATAAAATAGTAAATATTTGAGCTTTTAAAAATCTATATCTAAATAAATTATCATAGAGAAAATAGTCAACGGAAGTTAAAAGGATAATACTTCCTAAACATTTGTAAAAATAAATTGAACATCTCATCTTTTTTGTGGTAAAAGAGAAACTGAAAGGAGTTTCGTAAAATACGGAACTCATTCAAAACTTGTTAAATACAAAATTTTGTGGAAATAATTGAATTATATTTTAAAGAAAATCACCTAAAAACAAAAATATTAAATCTGCTTAAAAATTGA